AAAAATAAAAAATCTTACATACAAGTCTTTATTGCATGTTTTAAATCCTTTTTTATCCAAAAAAATAGAAAAGATATCTTATATTTATTTATATTTATATTTTTAATACACAATTGTATTACCAAATAATAATGAGTATCAAAAAAATAATCTAATATATCCTAATTTTCTAGTTAGATAAATATTAATATGTACTAATTAACTCTTTTTCATTTGTATTTAGAAATAGACTTTTTTTAGCTATTTGACAAATACATTTATTATCAAAAGATCATACTATTTATTATAATACAAATAAAAAAATTATATTCATTTAGTATTACTATATTTAAAATTAATCTAAACAATATAATATATATATATATATATATATATATATATAGATTGTTAGCAATAATTTTTAGAATATATATATTTTTTATATGCTCTAAACTATAAGATAATATTTGATATCTTGATTATATAGAGATTTTAATGTACTCAAATATTTTAGTTTTAATTTCTTTATAATCATTGTTATTGGTACTTTAGGATAATTTATTTGAAGTATAGGATTGATTTATTATCATTGAATTTATTGTGTGTAAATATATATGTTTTATTTTTACTTCTTTTTTTAATGGTTTTAAAATTTAAATAATCATCTTCTCCATGCCATTGAGGACTTAAGTAGGATTAGTTGAATTTGTGTGCAATAGTTTGTCTTAGATCTAAGATATTAGGATCCAAGATACTATATAAATTTTTGCTAATAAAATGAGTATGAATATAAGATAAATTTATAACTCATTGAAAAAAATCTAAATATATATATATATATATATATATATATCTATATTTATATATATATATATATATATATATATAATATTTTTTTCTAAGAAGGTAGGAAAAAAAATTAATCTATTTATTTTTTTTAAAATGAAATTAATCTCAATAAAATTGTCAAAGTGGATTTTTTTAAAATATTATTTTTACATAATTTTGAATATCTCAATTTGTTAAATACTAATTTTACAAATTTAGATATTTGGCACTTTATTTCACATGTCCAAATATGCTCCATTTTTATACCAATGTTGTAGAAGCAATGTTATTTTATTACTATTGTTAAATGGCCAAAATGTAATGGAGTTGTTAAAACCACCTTCTGGTCTTTCTCAATAGGAGTCCTAACATTTAAAAATAAAATAAAATAAAATATCCGATTTTGAACTTCTTGCATGAGCCGACAGATCCCCGATTCTATTTGTGTAGCTTATGTTTCCATCGCTTACAATTGTCACAGTTCTTGCAGGAATCTATGAGAACTCGGAAACAAGCCTGCACAGCGTTGCAGAGCCACCAATCTGAAGTATTTTAAGCTCCACATCCAGCTGATTTGTAGGCGGTGATCATCGCCATGCACAGACAGAGCCCAGAGCCTGTGATAGAAGCACACACATGTGAAATTCTCTTCTGCAGTGAGTGATGAGGGCGGAGCTGGGTTTGCATGAGGATGCCTAGCTCCCATCCACAACCTTCTCGACAGCCGTCGGTTGCTGTCCCTCAAGAATCTAGCATCGGTTGCAACTCAAGCCCACTGTTTCTCAACGCGGCACAGGCCGGTTTGTCGATAGTTTGGACAGCTGGAGGCTAGTAATGAGCGTCGTGTGCCAACACTATGGGCTCTTCATGAACGACAAACAGGAACACACATGCTCGGCTACACTCATTTGATCCCAAAGCGTCCTTTGACGGTAGCCTGGTCATGCATCGTGGACCAGTTGGAATTGCTTCTTGGGTCGGAGTGATGATACGTTGGTAGGAGTAGTAAATGTTAGCCTCGGAGGAAGAGACACAGTACAATGGAAATTCTTCGAATGCTAGAGGATCTAGAACTACCTTGAAGTTTGAACAAAAGTATGTGAGCTGTGTGAGGTGGTTGCATGCAACGCCGAAAAGACATAAATGGCATTCCTAACCCACCTACTGATTTTCGAACAAACGTTAGCATCTACTCAATGAAATTCTATGCATTATTCTCTGCTTGACACGACAAACTGTCGAGCTCATCGGATTGAGCATTATCTGGGTTCCAAAGTGGCAGGCCATGCTTGTTTTCTAGAGACTATCGTTGTCTTCCTCTTGATTGCCGTTACTCACTCGTTCCAGTTTTCAATTGTTTCCAGTTGAATCGTGCTCATGTCCTTGCACTGCCATCAAACTCATACGACATTAAAGAGTAACAAAAGAATGGTCTAAATGATTGATGTCTGCCTTCCTTCTTTTCTTTCCCTCTACTTCTGTTTTTGTTCCAAGATGATGCTTTCTGGACATTGCGATGGAAGGGTGACCGAGGTCAAAGGGTCATTTGGGGTACTGCAGCACACGGCAGTTGAGAATTATAGGTGGGATGTATCAAAATCCTACATTCGAATGAAGAGTTGATCAAGATCGAAACCCAATAGTGTCTCACATTGTGGTATTAGATGCCTGGATATCCATGGACTCAAAACCTAAACAATTTTATTTTGTTAAAGATTGGGGTGGTATCTCTCGTGTGTAAGTCTGTGGGTGTCTCCAATTTTTCTTAACCAAATCAAAACTTGAGGATATATGTTAGTTTCTTGTATGATGTCAGCAATTTTCAACGAATATTGCAACGAGGAAGAATGATAATACAAGAAGAGGATGGGATAGAAATGCAACTGGTTGTAGCTCAGTTGCAAAGTTAGGATAGAAGCAGTGATAAGGAAACATTTTAGGTGTTATAAGAACCAGTGAAGGGACACTTTGCTCTCTCTTTCACTTCTTTGAAACTCGGACATTCAGTAGTGAGAGAAAACAGCAAGATCGCTAGTTGCGTTTTTGGAAGTTGTAGCTAAACAGAACATTGTAACGTTTTGTACTTGAATTAATAAAAGAGAAGCATGGATTCATTGTCTATAAGGCACTTGTAGCTCGATAGTGTAGCGAAGAAATATTGTGCCAAAAGAAGTGTTTACTTCTTAGATGTGTTGTTATAACGTAGTTACTGTTCCATGGCACGCCACTAACCAGCAGAACCCCGAGCTAACAATGTGAAACACATTCCAATAGCTGCATGTAGTCACAAGCACCTATGATCAGAAAATTAAAACTAACTATAAATTGGTTGTAGGTCATTTTTTGAAAACAGCGATTTTTTGGGTATAAGATTAAGGCTATCGTATTAATCCTACCAATACCATCTGAAAGCACCCAACCCAGGTTAAATGTCACCGACATGCTTTCTTTTAAAATGTAAAACAAAATATATTATTGTATTTAATGGAAAAGTTTTACCTTTTGATAATAGTTTCATTGAAAATAAGTAGTTAGAGGTCTAGAAGTATTGACTAGGTCATGAAGTTTAAGAATCGCCTTGAGAAGTAAATAAATCTTAACCTTGAAGTCGTGTCAAATCCTGCCTTAGATACATAAACTTTTAATGAATGGAGTGTTAAAACATGATTTACATAGTATTTGACTTCAAAGACTCTTGGTACAACAGCACTGAAATGTTCAACATTCCAAGGAACGATGGAAGGAACAAGCTTCTCTTACAACAGACTCAGCTTTTAGTGTCAAGCAGCCGAATTCAGAGGGTTTTAGAAAGACAATGCTGAACTCAAATGATGTTGGAATTTAGCGGTTTCAGTCAGAAACGACGACCGCATAATCCATCTTTATACAACAGCAATGCATTCACCCCGATCAGACAATAATGATACATACTATCTGCAGCAAAACTGCTATAATGGAAACCATTTCTGTGCTGTTCTCAGCAACCTGATCTGACAACAGACCTCGTTATTATTGTTGTTCCATGAGATTGATATTATTGCATTATAAGGGGGTTTAGTGCTTCGGTCCTTGCACCACAAAGTCTGACCAGTAGTGTAGAGATATTCTGTGGTTTGCGGTTCGTGAATCATGGCGTTCATGACATCTGACTGGAACCGACTATGATGCAGCAATACGGCAATGATTCTCCCTCAGAGTAGTCTAGCATTTGGAAATTGGAGTTTGGGCAAACACCGATGGAAAGCGTATGATATGGTGGTTATTGTCAATTCGATCGAAGTCATAGGAAATGCACGACCTGGAAACATCATTGCCACTACCTACCCCTTTAACAGAGAAACGATTGCCTTGACGATGGACAGTGATTGAGATGAAAAGCAATGCCTGTCAGTGGGCTTGGAGCCCAGAAAACTTTCAGAGTTACTGCCAAGATTCTTGATCTCGGTCCAACAATTTTACACGCGGTGCGTAATGTCCAAACTGGTATAAGCTTCGAAAAGTGACGAGAGAATTTTTTTTGATTTCATTCCCCTGTTGAATCATGACCATTACTGCTGAAAAGTGACCGTTCGAAAATTCGAGAGACTATGCAGTGGAGGTTTACTGTCGGCTAATTCTTTCAATCTGCTGGCCATCACGAGCTAATGTGTTAACAAATCTGATAAGTTCATGACATCAGCACGATGAATAGAATGTGCACCAGCAGCTTTAAAAATCAGTCCCGGCATAACCCGATTCCTGTGACAAGATCAACAGGACAATGTCAAAGACCCAATAACTAATAAACCCAGCAACCTGTAGACTCAAGCTGCCCACTCAACCGAATCCGGGATGTATCTCCTGTTAGTGCAGATTTCAATAGTTCCATTGTGAAACATCATTATAAATTTTCAATAACCTGTGCATTTCGGGGAACTGCAACAGGTTTCCATGAATTCAGAACATTTGACACACTACGCGGGAGCTCTAAATTTCAGTCACTATCGACATTCCTCAGTTGCAGAATATACGAATCCTCAAGAATGGCCCTCCTCGTTGAATATGGTTCAGACATCATTAGCTCTTGGGCTGAAAAAGTATTCATTCACCCCCCCCCCGGCCATTCATTCACCCACTTTTTCTCGATTCTCATGCCAATCAAGGTCTCAGATACCATTTATATTCACTGACAGATCGTACTCAGGCTCCATTGCTCGTGCCAGTTTGCACCACTTGAACGGATATAAATTCTTTCATGCTTGAACGGTATCGTCAGATCCTCACATCCTCACAATATCGCCAACTCTAACCTGAGTGACATTTGTGAGTCATTAAGCGTATCGAAGAGTCCCCAGAGTGTTGTGACTGATCACAGATCAACATGGCGGAGGTGAAGCGCTTGGTGTTGTTGAGCTTGGCAGCTTTTCTAATGGTCACCATGGTGGCCCGCAATGTCGATGCTCAATGCAGCATCAACCAGCTTGCAGGGTGCGCTAATGCCGTGACCAGCGGTGCACCCCCGAGCGTCACATGCTGTGCCGAGGTCGGTGCGGCCGACCCCGCCTGTTTCTGTAAATTGCTTTCAGGTAATAGTTACCCGGACGCCTATGTCACCAACGCCCTTCTGGTACCGAGTAAGTGCGGTGGAGCGGCTGAAGCCAAATTCAAGGGCAGGAACTGCGCGGGTATGTGATGAACCCAGTCTATTTCAATGTCTCAATGGCTATCTATCTTGTGGCTAATCTTGACATCTCATATATTATGGTGAACTGCACACGCAGCGTGAAAAATTTACCCATTGGGTTCTCATTTTTCTGTAACGGGATTGCAGGTCATGTGGTTCCTTGAAGGATACTCTCGTTTATCATTCATGGATCGTTGACTAGGCGACGACCAGGTTGCACTGAAAGTGGGTTCAGACTTGTATGAGGGGCGGTACGTAAATCTCTATTGTTGGTATATATAGGGGGTTAAGTGTCTGCAGAAGGACGCCAGGGTGCGGAAGCAACCATTAAACCAAATCTCGTGAAGAACAGGACACTTGAGGTAGAATAAATCACAAGGGACGATAAATCAATGCAGAAGCTCTTCATCAGTGTTGGGCACTGCATGTGAAGTTAGTTTGCAATACAGGCTGCTCAGCAATTCTCTGCACCACTTGCACGTAGATAGGGTTGGTTTAGTTCGAGGCAGTATCCTGTGAAATATTTTTAGAAAAATTATAATACAAGGAATAAAACGCATATTTTTCAAAGGTTCCATATAGTGTAGGTTATATCAAATCATACTGTGTTTTCAACCAATATGTGGATCATACAGGATGTTTGCATACTCGCATCTAATCCATCGGTGAAGAAGTTTCAATAGCTGCACTCTATGTTTAAGCACATCACAAGTTGTATTACATTCTTTTCTTGTTGCTTGATTTCTAAGTTGTGGACCTTAAATATAAATTAAAACAATGCTTTAAATCATTTTTATCCTTCTTATATTTCTATGTTTGAAGTAATCTTTTTTTTGTAACTCTAATTGCGGTCTGCAAAACTAGTATAATGATATCCCCACAAGATTTCTCAACTTCGAAATCAATTTGTTTCGCAATTTCTTCTCTTTCTTCAAAAGCAGCCGCAGACATACCCTTCAACTGAAGAATCCATCGCACAAGAATTGCGGAAAGCGGTATTTGTTATAGATAGTCACTATCAGCTTTTGGTCACAGATGTTCATCCTCTACAGGAGAATAATCATCTCCAAATTCCAAACTCGTGGCACTGTTAGAGTTCAAAGGCAATATTTTTGTGGCAAAATATTATGGTTATTACTATTATTGAATATGAATAGATTATGTAATCCTTTAATTCCATTTTTTTGTATTTTGTTACAATTATGTGTTTCAAACCACACACAAAAATAAAAATAAAAATAAAATCATTAAGTATATACGTATATAAGTGTAATTTCGTAATTTATAAGTTTGTATTACTTCTGGCAGATATGAATTTCAACTGCCCTTTTGAGTGCAGAAGATTGATAATCAATATTTGTTTTACAATTAAATAATATTTTTTTCTGTAATTATTGTTAGAACATAATTTTCTGAAAAAAATTGTTTATGTAATTCAAAAAATAATAATAAAATATGATGTAATTATGTTGGTTCTTCTAAAATTTAAAAAATTATAAAATTCATTTTTAATATATATATATAGCTCCATGAAAACTAATTTTAAATATAAGTATTTTTTCTTATATATTTTTATTTTTGAGGTTTCTAATTTGTTTAAGAAATATAAAAAAAAAAAAAAATTAAAAAATTTACAACAAAAGAGATAGGAAGAGAAAATTAATAGTAACATATTACTCAAATAATAAGCTATTGCTCACTACAAGAAGAATTAATAATAGTGGTACCAATGGAAGGAGACTCTTAAATTAAGATTAGAATTAATCATAGTAGTATCAATATAACAAATAATGATAGTAGTTTCTTTTTATAAAGACCAGTTAAAAATAAAAATTATAGAAGTGTCCAAATGGAACAATAAGATATCTAGATTTTAAATATTTGTAAGATATCCAAATAGTAAATCACTTCTATAGAACTATTTAAGATTTAGAAAAAAAGTTGAAAGAAGATATTTTGGTCATATATTATATCGAAATATTCTTCTAGATTAAATCCAAAATTTTAAATATTTTCTATTTTTTCTTTAAAACTATTGCCATGAGAATGTATTTTAATTTTAAATTAATTATTTAGATTATAAAATTATTTATGACTATATTTATTTTTATTTAGAATTATTTTAAAGGTATTTTTTAAAGGTGGTTGAAATGTCCTATAAGTCATTAATAGTATCTTATATCTAAGCAAAAATAATACTTTATTATTTAATTATTATTATATATTTTATGATTATTTTTTATAAAAATATTTATTATATGTTAAATATAGTACCTACTTTTAGTAATATAATTGAGCACTATTTGGTTCTTTTATAATTAAGAAATGAAATGAATTTTGATATTTTATCTAATTTAAAATAAATTAAAAAATAAATTTTATATGTACAATAATTTATAATATATTTTTAGATTTTACAAGTTAATATAATTTATTCTTCAAAAATAACATTTAATTGTATAATTTATTCTTTAAAATTCATAATAAATTTTATTTTTAAAACAAAAAATCTTAAATAGATGTTTTTAAAATATTCAATTAAATATTCAATTAATTTTATTTTTATTGATATTATTAGATGATATATTCTTGTTTTTATAATATGTGATATTATTATTTTTATGTCTTGTGATTTTTCTACTTTATATAATTATAGCATAAAAAGCTTACTTATTATTATAAATTATTTCTTTAGAAATTCTACAAGATGACAATAAAGCCTTTTAAGCCCATTTTTGGTAGAAGAAGTAAGAATAATTTCCTTATACTATATTGTATGTCCTATTTAGAAAAAAATTATGATATACTATAGAAAATCTTTAAGAGGTTTAAAGACTTGAATATATGACTTGAATGAATTTTAATAAATAATTTTAATAAATAATTTTTCTATGTTTAATTAATTCATGCACTTTAAACTTACAAATGCTCCAACTACTTTTCAACATCTAATAAATGATTATTGAAAGTTTTTAGATGATTTTCCTATTTTCTAACTAGATGATATTTTATCTATTTTAAGAACAAAAAAAACATAAAAATCATGTTTGTTGTGTATTACAAAAACTTGGAGATGCAAGACTATAGACCAAATATATATATATATATATAACTTAAGTTCATTTTTTAAGATATATCATTTATAATGATGGCCTTATAATAGATCCTAAGAAAGTTTATTTATTATGAATTGATAAAATTTAAGAATAATAAGAAATATCCTATATTTATAAAGATTTTTTTATTTACTGTTGTATTTTTATCAAAAAATATTTTTTAGTTACAACTTTACTTAAACATTTGATTTTAAAAAATAACTTAAAATAAAAATTTAAGTGAAATCAAGATGCTAAGAATATTTGAAGCTTTAAAGGTAATTTTTATTTTAATACCAATTTTTTATAAAGACTTAATAATTAAAATTTATAAGCTATTTTTTATAAAAATAGACACATCAAATTTTACATTGTATGTAGTATTGTCAAAAATAAAAGCAGATAACAAATTTTATTTTATAGCTTTTATTTAAAAAAACATTCAGCAATTAAAATTAACTATTAGATCTATAAAAAAGAACTTATTGCAATTGTGGATTTATTTCAAGAATAGTGCCATAATTTAGAAGGTTCTTTTAGTCCAATAATTTTTTATATGATTCACAAGAACTTTAAGTGTTTTGTAATACTTTTAAGTTTGAATTCAAAGATAATCTTTTCTATTTTAAAAAATACTTATCTCTTCCAAAAAGTAAAGTGTACTTATATACTCTTCAAGTATGTTAGAATTTGGCAATTTCATAATATTTTGGATACAATAAAAAATTAGAGTAAATTTTAAGAGATTTTTAGTGGCTTAAAAGAAGAAAAACAAAACAAAAAAAAAAAAAAAAAAAAAAAAAAAAAAAAAAATCAATACAAGAATTTATACAATTTTGAAATATTTATTTAAGATTAAAAATTATTCATCATTGATTTTGTGGACTTTTCTAGCGATTACCTATATAAGTGAAGAAATAGCTAGACTTTATTTTTATAACATCTATTGCTATAGCAATTTTTTATAACTATCAAAAAATATTATATCAAATAGGTGGACTCAATTAGTATATAGGTTTTTAAGAACCATTTTCAAAATATTGAAGGTAGCCAAAATAAACTACCTTTTGCCCTTTTTTTTTAAAATGATAGAAAAAAAAGTAAGTGAATTAAGTATTGGAGAAATAGTTGCAATGTACCATCAACTACTATTAAAATGATTGGACAATTATTTTGCTATTGACAAAGTTTTTCTATAATAATATGGTACATTCTTCTATTTACCAATCACCTTTTTATACTAACTATGATTATCATCCATAATTTGATACTTTTAACTTCTCAAAACTTAATAAGTATGTGGCAAAAGATTTTAAAAATAAAATATTATAGCTACATAAAAAAATAAAGGTTCAATAAAATAAAGTTTAAGAATAAAAAAAATTAATGCATATGTCTATTATAAGGAATAACCCCATTTCTATAATAGAAATAAAGTAAGGTTATTTTATTCTATTATTAAGACTATTTGCATCTATTAAAAATTAAATAATTATAAACTTGAAGCATTTCTTATTTGAAAGCAAATAAATTTAATTGTATATAAATTACATCTATTGAAATCTATAAAGATCCATTCTATTTTCCATATGTCTCTTCATAAGCTATATAAGATAATGGATATACTAAAAAAAGATAGTTGCTATTTATTTTATAGAGGTGGATAATAATCACAAGTTTGAAATAGAAGATGTTTTAGGCTCAAAGTGGTACCAAAATATATTAAAACATCTTATATATTAGTGTAGATATGATATTAGTAAATATATATGTATATCATATGAGAATCATATAAATACAGCAAAGAAGGTTGGTGCTTTTCATCAACATTATTTATCAAGACTAAGATGAAAAGAGAAGATATTTATTATTATAAAGTAAAAATATTTCAATAAAAATTATATTTTATATTTTATTATTGTTTGTAGTTTCTTTGTATTTGTAATTGAAAATTAATAACTAATAGATTGAATTCAAGAATTATTATTTAATGGATTATTAGACAAGTTATTGAAATTGTCACAACTTTTAATATAATATAATAGAAATGAAGACCTTTAAGAAAGACATGTTTTTTTTAAAAGAAAGAAATGGTGAGATACAATGCATTTGGTATTATAATCTTCAAGGATACTCTCAATGTTTGGAGATATTATTGAAGGTAGGAATTATTCTTGATAGTATTCTTAATATTTTATTTGAATCAAATTATGAAGGAATTGACAATGATAAAATAACAAGGTGAATTTTTTACCTTTTATGAAATAATACTAGTAATTAAGAGCACTATCAACTATCTTTAAAGATTACAAAAATCCAAGTATGTGGCAAATTTTCAATCACTATAGAAATTTATTGGAATAAACTTCTAATTTTCATATATTTTTATAATATTTTTTGTAATTAATATTTTATAATTTAAAAATATCTATTATTTATAAATATTTTAATTATAAAAATATACAATATTATATTTTATTATAAAATATTTTTGAATTCTTAAATTTTTTAACTATTTATTTAACAAAATAATGTTTCATATATAAAAATAATACTTTGGATTCTTTGTAAATTCAAGACTTTTTTATTTATAACACATTATTTAAATTTATCTAAATTACACAAATCTAATATCTTTCAAATTTTATTATAGTCAAAGTACATCAATTATATAATGATTTATTACTATATATTCTATCTTCATAGAAAAATAAGCTATAATAAGTTATTTATTATAAATTCTTAAAATAATATCTTATCATGGACACATTTATCTAGATAAGAAATATTAAGTAGAGGATAAATATAAGTAGATTTTATATCATCTTTTGATAAAGATTCTTAGGAGCTTTATGGACACAAATTTGACTTTAGACATATTTCTAGTTGATTGGTAGGTTAGAAACTTAGTCAACAAGTTAGGAATGTATTGCACATGATAGTAGTTTATGATACAAGCTAACCATGTAGTATATATATAAGAAACTTGTCTTGCAAGTCAGACATATGTTTCATATGTTGGACATGTGTCAAAGGTCATAGAACATCGCCACATAGTTCTTAGTGAGATAGTATATATAGAGGCAAGAGTGAAGCCTTCTTCACTCTTATCAACACCTTTCTTATTTTTAATCTTGTTTCAAGAGACTTTAATTTTATTGTCTTTGGCAATAGCCATTCTAGTTTAATATTATAAGTTTTTAAAGTGATTATCTACTTTTTTTCAGTGATATAAGAGTGTATTGACTCTTTGGTTCTTTGATATTCATGTTGTTGATACATCTTGTCTACAAAACATAAATATTTTGTCATGGATTTTATATTATTTATTTATTTAATATAATTTATATTAAAATAATATTCAAAATTAATATTTTTATTAACAACTATAGAATTTGAAGTCCAATGTATTTTTAAAATATTCCATGAATCTCTTCACCATTGTTCAATGCATATAACCAATCTTAGACATATGTTAATTTACAACACTTATGTCATATGCAAGATCACTTTTTTTTGTATACTATTTCATATAATAATGAATCTATTATTAAATTATAAAAAAATCTTATATTTTATCTTTAGCTTTAATAAAGTCTTTTTTTCCAAAAAAATTATAAACTTCAATTTAAATACGAAAGGAGATATATACTTTCATGCTAAAGCATAATTACATCTCTTTAATATAATTTTTTTAATTTAATTTGATGGTAAAATTAACATATTTTCTTAAAAATCTAAATTCAACATATCAATATAATTATCTTAGGGATATTAACCACATACTTATGATTTTAATTTTTAAAGCTATTCTTAGAAATAAATTTTTATATAAGAAATATAGAAATAATACAAATATGTTTCAAAATAATACAACTACATAGCTTTGAGAAAGATATCTACATTATTGTGAAATGGATATACACAAAGTTTTTTGAATTTGATAAAGTTAAACCAAGACATATCCTATAAGTGAATTCTATCAATTTAAGCATGTAATAGCTATTTATAACCAAAAAAAAGTTGAAAGTAAGGATTTATTTGACAAGAGAGTTGTCATCTATTTTTTTTAGTAATTTTTTAATATTTTCTATTTCTTATTGTTATTTTTGGTTATAATAATATCTTTATTATTTTTTATTCTAATCTTATCTTAATATTTTCTAATTTTTTTATACTTAAAAATAGTTATTTTGGTTGTTTTATATAAAAAAATATTTTTTTCTTTTTATCATATTTTATAAAAATAATAATCTTACTCATATTTTTTATTTAATAATCTATTTTTATTTTTATTTTTAATACATTATTTAAATTTTATTATGATTTTATTCATAAAAAAATTTAAATCATTTTTGATACTTGATTTTTAATTTCTATCTATCTATATATATATATATATATATATATATATATCAAATATGTAGGTACATTACAAATTATTTTAAATCTATTATACTTAATAATTCATTAAAAAAATATTCAAGTTAGAGTAATAACATTTACATGTCATTGTAAATATTATGTTGTCCAATATATTAAACTATTGTTAAATATAATTTAAAAATGAATAAGCAATTTAGAATTTAGACTCTATAATCATTAAAAAAAACTCAAGCGTAAAAAATATGAGAGTGAAAACACATATTGACCTTATTCACAAATAATAATAGTTAATTATGGAAAAACTAAGCATTAATTATGGAACAAAAATATGCAAATGAAACAAAAAAACAAGCTAACAAACAGTTATCATAATAATAATAATAATAATAATAACTAATACAATAATGATATACTTGAAAACTAAAAACAAGTCTTTTCAAAGATCACTTAAAAACCTTATTTTAAATGTTTTACTCATTTTCCAGTAGTATTTCAAATAGCTAATATGTTAGAGGTGGAAAAAGATCATGCAAGTTGATTACATCTTCTTTACTGCAAACAACACACACGTATTAATTTTTTATTTCAGAAATAATGATTGTATTACATTAAATTGAAAATTTTGAATAATTGAAAAAAAAATGTGCATCCAATGAAGTAGAGCATTTGAAAGAAATATTTATAGCCAATGAATATCTTCAAAAAACATTAAAAGAAATCTTTTGTCTTTTAATGAAAATAATAAAAACATGTAAACACGAGTCACAAAAATGAGTCATGATATGAGTCACGAAATGCATGTTGTGGCTTAGTAACTGATTTAAATTTCAAAATTTAAATCTCATAACTCATTTAAAAAATCAAAAATCAAAAACCATAACACAAAATTGTGTATATGAATGAATGAATGAATGAATGAATGAATGATTATATATATATATATATATATATATATATAAACCTATGAAATCATAAAATTAAAAAAAATAAATAAATCCTTTAATTATTTACAAAACAATATTACTATGTTTCGATTTTCTAAAGGTCGTCCTTGTGTGAGGAGTGATGGTTCGTTTTCACACTGCGCAGCTGATTTTCGGACCTTGGCGAGGTCGTCCTACGTGGCCTCCATCTGCTGACAAGGATGCCAAGCTGACATCATCCGTGCCTGGGCACACTACCACAACGGGCGGGGTCACCCACCCGGCCCATCGTTTGGAGGGCCCAACTCTGAAGGGGATGAGTGTTTTGGACGATGATTTTGGCACTCTTATTGAAGGGAATGGAGAAATGCTCTCCTTCTCTCTCGTTTTGAGGGAGAAAAATGAAATGGTCTTTGGGGCTTAGCTCATGGGATATGGAGCCCCATGTGGGAAAATGACCCCCTTTTATGACTCTTTCTATGGAAGGGGGAAAAAAAAAAAACTGATAAACAAACACATCATTTTTTTAATCTGAAAAAAGGATATGCTTGGCATTCTGTTGGGATATGTTTATTTGAAAAGTAACTATTTATAAAGTTAATAAATAAATAAATAAAAGTAGGCCAACAAATTTTAAAAAATCTGGCTTCATTTGGATTGGATGTTCCAAATATCTTCTCCAAGTTTGCAATAAGATACAATGAGAGTGTTATTCTGAAAAGTTAAAGTACTGGGGTATAACAAAGTGATTATAAATAGAAATTCTAAAAGTGTCCACTTAATTTAGATTAATTGATACTCTTATTTTTTCAACAACTTTCTCCCTTTTCCATAAACTTTTTTCTTTTTTCAGATGTCCAATTTTTACATTTTTTCACCATCTACAAAACGAAGTTGTTAAATCTGATTGTATTATCTTTTCTAAGTGTATTGCTTATCAGAAAAACATAGAAAGATTGTTGATATAATGCAATAAGAAAAAGTAACAAAATTCTGACGTAGGTTTCTTTGATGAGAACATGCAACCTTGTGTAAACCAATCCAATATTTGTTTCAAACTCTGTATTTATACTTGATTAACGAACTGATATGGATACAAATACAAAATTTGTTAATTGTAAACTACCATGATATTATTTGAGGGAATGAAGTACATACACATACAATCCAAACAACAACAACAAAATTGAGGCACAGTTGATTCGACAAAGTGTGGATATTTAATCTTCCAATGAGGAGAGGACGGTGGGTATACCTGGTCCACGTCATCCTCCCGGCCCGTTCCCCAAGAGCACAAGCCCGTCTTGCAGGGCAAAATCCGCGTGACAAAGTTGGATCGAAGAGGACTCAACGGGGGGCCCATTCCAGATCCTTAAATATAGAGACGTGGGCTGCGGAGAGAGGGGTGGAGCGGCAGCGACGGAGGGCGGGCTACGGGCACGCGGCTGCCGCAGAGGAGAGCAGGGGGCTCGATCGCAGGGGGGCGGGGAACCTATCACGGCGGGTGATCCGAGTGTGACCCGATTGAGCGCGATCGCTCTTTCGTCTCGATTCTCGAAGTGGGTGCATGCAAGATGCACCCGAATCGCACCCCTTCTCTTGGATTGCAGCGCAAGGGCGGCACTCCGACGGGCTGCCCATTATGTCCCGCCCCCATGAATTTCACTCCCCCTCTTACTCCTCCTCCTCTAAGCCTCCCATTGCTGCCATTCCTGCTACGATTCCTCCTCCAAATGGTCATGATTCGTCTTGCTGCCAGGTTCTTGTCCATCTCCAGATTCTCTAATTCTGAACTCGTGCTTTGATGCCGCACGCTGAGAATGCATTGTGAGGTGTGCAAAGCCAATTCAGCTGGTTTTTGCTTCGTAGTCTACGATACCTCCTTTGAATTTTTGGTGTACCGGTATGAATGCGGGGATTTATTAGAGGAGATTGTGCGTTAGCCGATTATGAAATTGTGCAAAGTGTGATTCTTTTTTGGTTTTAGTGGAGATTGGTTGTATTCAATTTCGACAAAGCGAGGTGTGTGTCGACGATAAGCACCGCGGGAATCAGAATTGATCTTTGTGAACTTCGTCACCGGAGCCTGTTTATCTGTTGCTGAGGAGCACATCTTCTGCTATTCGTGCTAAGTATGCGCTTGATTTTGATCACAGTGAGGTTTTCGGGCTGTCCAGGCTGCGCGCGAGTATTACATACATTGATTGCTGGGGGAGTATGGACAGTGGGATGCCTGTTTTGTGGGTGTCGTGCATTATGTATTTTCCAATTTAGAATTACACCTCAGTCTAGTTATCAATTAGCGACTTGTTCCGCACAGAAGTCTTGTAATCGAGTTAGAAAAGTCGAGTACAGCTTATATTTCGAGTATTTTGAAGAAAGCGCCTAATTTCGGACAATTGCATCGTTTGGGGGAAAGTTGTAACATAATATATTTTTCTTCTGAATGGTGTGTCATGATGCAATGCAGGTTTGATTCGGTCGCATAGTGTGCTGGAGCATTTTTGAATTGCTGCAGTTTTTACTTCAAAAGACCCATGTGGGGAGTTGGAGGAGTAAGTTTTGAACTCACCTACGGATTGCTGTATTTTTCGACTTCATGATCACGACGCTTCAGACGGTTACACTTAATCGTGACTCTTCTTCCTCATATTGTGCAGCTTACTCGAAGATTCAGCTTCAAGGCCAGCTGTCCTACAGTTAAGGCATCCGACTTGGAGGCTGACAAGCCGGATAATTCAGCGGATAAGCCACAACCATGGAAGGACATGAATGGCATGCAGAATTTAGGAGTGCTGGAGTTGGACCCTTATCTCGCCCCCCACCGGATCCATCTGCGATCTCGTGTTCGCGAGTTTATGAAACGAAAGATGGAAATCGAGAAACATGAAGGAAGTTTGGAGGATTTTGCCGAAGGTTCGTGTTCCTTAACTGCAAGCCCAATACTACTGAGATCTCTTTATCAATGTCAATGCAGTTCACTATTCAAAGATTCACAGGTTGCTAACTCTTGTTGTTAGATTGCTTTTGCGTTGATTTTTTTCTTTTTCGTTTGAAAAAATCTGTTGTAAACCATCTTCTCATTTTTATTTATTTTTTCAAATCTTAATATTGAACTTAGACCTTAACGGTTCTCACAGAAATCACTTCAATAGGGTAGTAGAAATATGAATTTAAATGATTTATGTGAGGCCGAGACCTTAATGTTTCTAATTGAGGAAGAAATATAAGAGGCTTCTAAAAATTCAACAAATATGAAACATTAAGATTGTCACAGACTTATACAGTGATCGTTCCACTATCGTAGGTTCTCTAACAACTAACGAATGGAATTGTTTCTCGGCCTGTTGAGTCCTTGATACTTCATATCTATTCCTTTAGTGGCGGAAACTATGGCTTAGAGTTACGAAGTTCTTCTTGGACGCACAAGGTATTTAAAGCTTCACTTGAACAGGTAGCACTGAAGCGCTAGCAGGGTATTGTGTTGCTGTGTGAAGGGTACAAGAAGTTTGGGTTTACTCGTGAAGGAAATTGCATTGTTTATCGGGAGTGGGCTCCCGCAGCAGCGTGAGTTATCTCTTCAGAGCTCATCACTATGAACGACATTGGAATTGAACTTATTGCTACTACTCTTGTTGTTCACCTCGATAACGAAGAAATTGACACAAGATGATATCGTATCTGTGTCAATTTAAAGTGGAGTATTGTCCTGTATATCAGTAATGCAGCTATGACCTTATGCAGTCGTTTATTAAGCGCGATTGGGCTTGATAACTGAAGAGAGTACTTTTGTATACAGGGCTGCTCAGTTAATCGGGGACTTCAACAACTGGGATGGGAGAAAACATAACATGGAAAGAGACAAGTTTGGTGTTTGGTCTATCAGGTTGCCAGACGTGCGTGGTGTCTCTGCGATTCCTCACGGATCTAAAGTGAGGATCAGAATTAAGAAGGGTGATGATACTTGGGTAGATCGTATTCCAGCCTGGATTAAATATGCCGTAGTTGATCCTACTGTATTTGCTGCGGATTATGATGGTGTTTACTGGGATCCACCTTTGAGGGAAAGGTATGAAGCACCTAGCCTCGCTTCTTTACGAATGACCTTGATGTCTTGGGTGGTTAGGCTACGTGCATTTGAAATGATGAAAAACTTGGTATCATTTTCTGTGTCTCGCGTAATGTACGTCTACGCATGGACCTTCGGTACATGGTTCAATCTGTGCATGTTGATTGGGCACTTTGTAGACTCATACTTTATTTTTACTTTTGTAAAATGTGCCAGATATCACTTCAAGCATGCCCGCCCACAAAAACCATCAGCTCCACTCATTTATGAAGCTCATGTGGGAATGAGCTCAAAAGAACCGCGAGTATCGTCCTACAGAGAGTTCGCGGACGAAGTTCTTCCTAGGATCAAGGCTAACAATTACAATACCATTCAGCTGATGGCAATTATGGAACATGCTTACTATGGTTGCTTTGGTTACCATGTCACTAATTTCTTTGCAGTTAGCAGCCGAAGTGGTACTCCCGAGGACCTGAAGTACCTGATAGACCAGGCTCATTCAATGGGACTTCGAGTTTTGATGGATGTGGTACATAGCCATGCAAGCACCAATGCCGTCGATGGATTGGCTGGGTATGATTTGGGCCAGCCAGCTCAAGAGTCCTACTTTCATACTGGTGCCCGAGGATACCATAAGCTTTGGGATAGTCGACTGTTCAATTATGGGTCGTGGGAGGTGCAGCGGTTCCTTCTATCAAATCTGAGATGGTGGATGGATGAGTACATGTTTGATGGCTTTCGTTTCGACGGGATCACTTCTATGCTCTATCACCATCACGGACTGAACATGCGCTTTAGTGGAAATTACTATGAGTATTTCAGCGAAGCCACTGATGTCGAAGCAGTGATGTACTTAATGCTTGCAAATGATCTAGTCCACAAGATGTATCCCGATGCCACAGTTATTGCGGAAGATGTATCAGGCTTTCCCACTCTCTGTCGTCCAGTTTCAGAAGGAGGTGTTGGCTTTGACTATCGTCTAGCCATGGGTATACCCGACAAGTGGATGGAGTACCTGAAAGTTAAGGAGGAGGAAGATTGGTCTATGGGTGATATTGTTCACACTCTTACCAATCGGAGATATAAGGAGCCTTGTGTCGCTTACTCCGAGAGCCATGATCAGGTGAATTGCACTGTTTGTGTCACGTTTTGATGCTGTAGTGTTATCTCATTTGTGCCGCTGACTTCAGCAACACTCTTTCCAGCTGTGTAATGGTTTTGTGTTCTATCATTGAAACTGAGTTGTTTTTTCCCAAGTCTAGATTTAAGTTCCCCCACTTGGGGGGAGAGATTCAATGTGAACATTATCGATGCATAATAATATAGAGCAGCAGTTTCGTATCAGTGGTTGTCGCAATGGAATCACCTTGCCCTAAATCCCTGATCTACATAAAGACGTGAAAATTTGTCATGTTTCCTTTACAGAATATTTTGAATTAATTCTAATACTCTTTATTTTTTGCAGTCTATGGTCGGAGATAAATCGTATGCATTTTTACTGATGGACAAGGAAATGTATTTCAGCATGTTAGCTACGCAACCATCGAATCCTATCGTAGATCGAGGAATAGCACTACACAAGGTCCTTCCATTCTGTTATAATAACTTCTGTCCATAAAACGCTTCATCTGTCCTGTATTGTTTTATCAAAACTGGGGCACGGTCAAGTTACTTACTGTTAATTGTGCTGCAGATGATTCACTTCATTACCATGGCTCTTGGTGGAGAAGGCTACTTAAACTTCATGGGCAACGAGGTGAATAATTTAAATTAACTTTCTGAACCACATTCTCATTCATCACTTTTTTGTCTAATTTCCTGTTTTGGAGCATCGATTTGCCTGAGTGGTACTGACATCAGTAGGATTTTTACGAGTTGCAGTTTGGTCACCCCGAGTGGATTGACTTTCCCAGACAAGGAAACAATTGGTCATTTGACAAGTGTCGAAGGCTCTGGGATCTCGCGGATCGGGACGACCTTCGATACAAGGTTTGATTTCTAAGTGTTGTTGAAGGCTTATTTGCTGGAATGATTTACAGCTCGAAGCTGTATTTAGAATTGTTTTTGTTATAGTGGTGCATGATTTATTTACAGAATTGGCGGATGTCATGGATGAGAATTTCAATTGAAGGTTTGAAAATTTCACCTCCCGTCAAGTGCCCTTGCAATGGTACTTAGAAAAGTAAAGCGAATGAATTGTTTTTGAATGATTTATTTCAAGGATATAAGGATTCAATCTTACATTCCAGGGCTAACTGAATCATTTGTTGGTAATATTAAATCAGACTCAGCAATACTGAGCTAACTTTGATCTCGATCTTTTCGTACAGTTTATGAATAACTTCAACAGAGCGATGATTGGCCTTGGTGAAAGCTTCCAATTTGTGGGTTCTTCGAAGCAGTACATCTCCAACAAAAGTGAAACTGAGAGGGTCAGTTACCCTTATCCCGCTTATGTAATTCTGATCGACAGCCAGGAGCTTCATTGATCTTCATGAGGGAGATCAAGTCCCCCTGAATGTGATTATGCTGTTACGTATGTAATATTTTGACAGTGATTCCTGCAGGATAGCTGACTCAGAATATGATTGGTTACTTTCTAGGTCATTGCATTCGAAAGGGGAGACTTGGTATTTGTGTTCAACTTCCATTCAACAAACACATACCCGGAGTAAGTGGAAGTCTTCCTACGAGTTTTCAAACTTCCACAAACAGTCTGTGTTTTGGGGGCTTGATAGTATAATCTGAAAGATCCAATTAAACAATTTTATTTTATTTTTGTTTTAATATCTTTATTTGCTTTCAGTCTGAAGATTGTTTGATGCCGTGAAGCAGGATTCATCGTGGATGATAGATTTTTATATTGATGGATCAATAATCTTCAGTTACAGTGATGTTATCATTTGTACTCATTCGATACCCACTTGTTGCCAGGTTGAAGGTAGGCTGTGAGATTCCTGGCAACTACCGGATCTGCTTGGATAGTGATGCTGCGGAATTTGGAGGCCATTCCCGGGTAAGATTCGATGGTGATGTTTCTACGCATGTTTTTTTCTACATTCATTGTTCTTACGCATGAGCAATTGAAAGAGTAAAATAAATTCAGGATCATACATAAAAAAAAATTCCCTCCTTTCCCATTAACACATTTGCCACTTTCTTACTCAAGTGCTTTTGTCTTTTCTCTGCAGGTGGACCACGAGGTTAATCACTGTACAAATCCTGAGGGAGAGCCAGGAAAGCCAGAGACTGGTTACAACAATCGACCACATTCCTTCATGGTCATGTCTCCATCTCGCAGTTGCCAGGTCAGCAATATATCATGCCTCGCATTCTGTTTATGCTGAACTTTTTGCTAGTGTTGCGCTTTCAATCTTCGCTCATTTGAACCTCCTAGAATCGACCAGAAGAATAAAATGACTAATTATGCTAAATACTAATGTGCTATTTGATCCTCTGAGATTATTGTTTCAAACATCATCGAAAGCTGTATTGAACTTCAGTCCATGCCACTTGGTTATCTACCGTGCTCAATTACTCCAATGGTGTCGTGGCTATTATAAACTTACAACAGTACTTGGTCCTGGATGCAGGTGTACCACAAAGTATCCGAGTAAATTGGGGAACGTTGTTGGATCACCGGGGTCTTTTTCTGTACATTATATTTCTCCGTGTATACTAAGATATAGTGAACCTACTTCATTTTAGCCTATCAAAAGGTCTGATCTGCTTGTGAGTATTTTAATTAAGGGGTTGTTTGGGGGGCCTGGTAGAGCTATAGTTGCTTTTGACCAGCTTTCATCTCATTCAAGAGATCTTTTAAATACCTCTTTATTACCCATTTTAAATGGTTATTGTAGTAGCTTACGAGTTGTGTATTAATTGATACCAATATTGTGATGTCCAAGATCTCCTATGTAGAGTGGTGTAAGAGTCAATATTTTTGATGTTACTTCTTTGTATCGACACAACTTTTGGTTTCCAGTTTCTAATTTTGAAGTTAAAAGCCTCAACATGTTGCACTTGATTAGCATTATATATTATACTTTCCTTTGTTACAAGTTTTTTTTCCCCACAGAAGACGTACAAAGTTAGATGTGTGTTAAATTGTACATTCTTTAATGTCAAATTTTGCAATTTTATTAAGTCTTTATTGGAGGCAGAGAGTATGTGTAGAACGAATATCTCTAAGAGAACATTCACTTATGAGATTAGGTTAAGATTTTGATGGGACATATTTCTTGATTTTGAGCTAAGAGTTCTTTACGCAAAGTTTGTGGTATCATTTGTTAGTAACTAATTGATTGAAGTTGGCATTAAAAAGATTGTTTAAATTGGGTGTAATTTTCTTTTTTCTTCTTTTATGATTGACCAATCTTTGTATCAAGGGTAGTGGTATTATTTGATTGTTACAAATAATTAAGTTAGACTAAATAAAATTTATTCAACTATTAAATAAATCTATTCTAAGAAATTATTACAAGTTTAGGAGAAAAAAATTAGAAAATTATCTCAAATAATATTTATTAAATAAAAACTATTTTTTAAATGACAAAAGACTTTCTACCTATGTTGATATAATTGTTTGTAATTCAAGGGTGAAAAAATTAAAACATATAGTTTTTTCTATTTATTTACATAAGATTAATAATTTAAAGAATTAATGTAAATTTTGAGGTTAAAAATATTATAAAATTAAAAATATAAAATTGTATTATTTGATTTGAAATATCTTTGTCTTTTATGTCTTCACTATGAATAAGACATATTTTGCAGTAATACTAAATTTCCTAAAAAAACAGAATTATATATATATATATATATATATATATATATATATATATAATTTTAGCAAAAAAATATACATAAGTATTTTAATTTGAATTAAGAAAAAATAAATTTTAACAAAAAAATTATAAAAGAATGTTTAAATTAATAAATACGAATAAATAATAATGATTAACAATCTATATTTAAAACTAATGAATTTCAGATTTTCGTTGTAATTAAATAATTTTATGCACTACCAAAAAATATTTAAAATAAATAAAAATTACAAAAATACAAATATAAAGTTATGAGTTATAAATAAAATATAAATAAAAAGATATAGTTATGAAAGAATGTTTTTGAAAAATTTAACCAAAGAAATGAACTCTTTTTTATTAAAAAATATCTATCATAATAAAAAAAAAATCAAATATTTTTTTATTAGTAATTTTGGTTTTTGATTATTATTTTTTTATTTGTTTACTTTAATGTTTATAGTTTTGAGCAATCTTCATTCAAAATATTGAAATAATTCTAATTTTTTCATAACATTTTAATAATTTTAATTATAATTATAATTTTAATAATTATATATATATAATTATTTTACTTGATATTTATTTGATCATATTAATATACCTATGAATAAAAAAAATAATCATATTCTTTAAAAAAATTGAATATTAATTACTCTATATATTATGATGTGATTTTAATAATGCAATAATACAATTGTTTTTAATAAATTCTCATTTTTAATACAAGTATAATTTAGCAAAGTGAATAAATGAACAAGATTCTATTTTATCTAATATTTCATATAAAAATATGTTCATACCATCATAAAAGGTATTTCTATTACTTATATATAAAATATTTAATAGATTTATATTTGAAATAAATTTTATTTAATACAAAACTTAATTTTTTATAAATATTAAAGAAAAATAAATTAAACAAAATTTTGCAAAATAGGCTCTAAACTTGTGCTTTGATCTTTTTTACTTCATTTGTTTATTTTCCATGGATGTCAACAAACATCAATATTGGGAAATTGCCTCAAATTGTATAAGAAACTTAATAATAGGCAACCAATTGTTTGAAGTGCCTAAAATACTAATAAGAAGAGTACAACATTAAGAATTTGGATTTAAAAAAAAAAAAAAAAAAAAAAAAAAAAAAAAACACACACATACACACAAAATCATTCATGAGCTATTAGATAAGTTTAAAGATTCAAGGTTTATAAAACTGTTTTGGTGCAAGAGGCTATTTGGATTTTTTTTTAATTAAGTATTAAGTATCATATAGATTTCTACAATTAATGTATAGAATTATCTATTTTTATCAAAATATTTTTAAATACAAAATTTGATTTTAAATTTAAAGTTTATAATTTAATTAAAATAAAAAAATAAACCGCAATGATGATTGTTGAAAATTCTTTGGGAAGAAATATACAATAATTATAAATAAAAGACTAATTAAATTACACCAATGAAGATATTAAGCTTGGATGTTCACCATGTTTTCTATGGTACATTCATTTAAGATGCTATTTTTTTCTAAAACAAATCTTTCTTTCTTTCTTTTTCTCTTTATAAATTATATTCTTTCATATATCTTATAAATTAACATTCTTTCATGTTACATATTCTAATATTTACATATTTTTCTTATATTTTAAAAATAAAAAATTACCTTCTTTGTTTAGCAAAAATATTTTTTTAAGCAATTTAGAATGAACTTTTTAACCAAAGAATATTTGCTAACTATAACAATGTAAGTAATGCATTCTTTATATATGCAAAGAAGGAATTCTTACTATCTTATAATTCATTGTCAATGCTGCTATATTAAAATATTCTTGTTCCATCCTCAAGTCTACTTGTGAAAAAAAGTTCTACTAATAGAATTTATAAGTTCAATTTTTTGAATAAAATTTACCACAACATCACTTTGTTAATTATTGTAGCTTTGCAATGACATGGAATAAATGGTTCTCTTACAAAATATGGCACAATATAATATAAATTAATAAATTACACTTAAAGATACACTTGTTGAACTCGAATTCATAATTTTTTTAATTTAATTTTATGAACCTTTTCTAATGATTTTTAAGGTGTACTCAAAATCAACTAATAGAAGAGCTAAGTATTACTTGAGAGTTGCACCTTTATATTTTGTATGAGAGATAAGGGTATTTTTCAATCAATATGATATAAAATCTTATTTAATTATTCAAAGTTTAAATTTGATGAGCCATACTTTTAGTATGATGAGAATTTGTATAAGTACTTAATAAATAATACTTATACAAAAACTAGATTTAGAAAATAATATTAGAAATCTCATGAATTGAAAGAGCTTTAAGTTGCTTCATAGACAAGTGGGAACTATATCCAGCCAATATGGTTGCAAAAAATAAGAATATAATTTTAGAAAGAAAGAAAAAAAACAAAATAAAATAAAACAAAACAAAAAAATAAACAAAGTAGAAAGTAGAATAAATTATAATGTATAGATATTGAAGATGAAAGTCTTCTTGAGATGCAAGAATATGTGGAAGATTTTTAAAATAAAGACTCTACACATGGCATTTTTATTTCAAGTTGGAATAATACATTGTGTAAAGACTTAGTTTTGGCAATAGAAAAACAACACACTAAAGATATAAATCTATCCCTAAACAAAAATTTAGTAGATACAATTGTTAAACATGATAATCTAATTGATACTTAGGCATCACTTTAAAGTAAGTTTTGATTTAGTTGATGTACCATAAGTCTCACCACTTACTACTAATTATATAGCATGAGATTAAAAGATAGAAGATTCATTAAAGAATACATGAAGAATACTTGAATAATATTCAAGACATCAAAAATTAATGAGATGCTCTTGGGCAACTAGTTAGTGATTTTATGTTATTTCAACCAATACTCAAAAAATTGCATTAATCCTTCAAACATATGATTCAATCAATTTCAACAAAAAATATTTTTGCTATGAATTTAGAAGATCTTATAAAAATCAAGGAAAGTTTGTTGATCATGCTAGACTTAGCTTTGTTTAAAAAAAAGTTTCTAGTTCTAATATCAATTTAATATTACAAATATAAAGGATGCAATTATATTACTTGATATTGCTACTAATAAGATAAAGATCAATTTACATGTAAGTAAGAGATAAATAACATGAAATTTTCTCATCAAAAATTTTTGAAACCAATTCCATTGAAGAAAAAGAAAATAAAAATTCTTAATGAATAAAAATAATGATGATGTAAAAGTGGCATTTACTTAAAATCTCTAAGTTCTTTAAATAAAAATAATTGAAGTACTTAGATTTGGATGCTACATAACATATTACTATAGACAAAGAGAAATTAAGGCCATTAAAACTTGTTGCAAGAAAAATCATTCAAATACCAAGAGAAGAATATCACTAAATTGCTAGCATTAATAAAGCTAACTTGTACAATGAATTGACTAATGTGATGAAACTTTTAAAGTTTTATTTTTGTACCAAGTCTAAACATCTTCTTAATCTCAATTGATAACCTTTCCAACATTGATAATGTTATAAAATTCTCCAATGAAAATTCTTGTATCTATAATAATATAGTATAAAGAAAGATCCTAGCAACTAGAAAGCATGATACCAACAACAATCTTTACAGTATTTCTATAGTGAATCTTATTATAAATTAAGCTGATATTAAAGAAGAAATAAAATTATAACACTAATGATTTAGAAACTTAAATTATATAAATCTAAGCTATATATTAAGAAAAGAGAAAGCACAAATATTACTTAGATTAAAAATACTAAAAGATATATGTGAATGTTGCCTAATAAAAAAACATTATATGAAAAGATTTTCCAAAAATATTATACACAAAGCCTTCAGAGTCTTAGAAATAATTTATTTTGATATGATTGGGCTATTGTCAAGTCTATTACTATAAGAATTATATTCTTTGTTATATTTACTTATATGTTAAAAAATTCTATTTTCTAAGAATTGATCAATGGAAGGAATTTAAATCAAATAATTTTAAGGCTTATTATAACACAAACAGAAAAACAAATTGCTTGACTTGAGTGCTTACCTCAAAATAAAATAGAACAGTTGAAAGAAAAAAATTGAGTATGGTTAAATAAATAAGAAGCATG